GGTGCCAACTGTTTATGGGAGGTTTCTTAAGAGGGATAAAAAGCCACCTGCTGCTGTACAGTCAATTCGGACGACTCCCAGGGACCCTGTCAGACAGAGCAGAGCTGCTGCTCAGGGCTCCTTCCTTCATGCAGACGGACTGCCACACCGCTGCCATCTCTTCTCCTGCAGGCTTGGACCGCCAACCTTTCATTAGCAGTTAAGTGCTTAATCACTGTGCCAGCGGGGTTCTGAGATGAGCAGGAAGACGACTGTAACCCACGTTCTTGTCACAAGTGCACGAGATGACGTGTGGAATGCAGCCCTGGCTGTGTGCCTTCAGTGGTATGCAGGGTCAGCCTGACCTTGTTCCAGGCAAAGGCCCAGAATGCAGCTTCCACCTCCTTTCCAGCACTGGCTGACGGAGGCCGTGGAATGCACATGCTTCCTCTTGAGGCCCCTGTCACAGGCCTTTTCCGGGTCAGGCTTACCTTCTAGCCATTTCTTCATCTGACACATCGACCTCCACTATTTCATCTTCAATTTCTTGGGTCCTGCTCTTGGAGTTCATCTGAAGCATTAATTTCTGAAAAAGACACCAACATTGACCATTAAGGCTGGAAGAGGGTTTTGAAAGGAACTGATTTCAAGCTTACTCAGCAGCTAGAGGAACTGAAGTCGGTGCCTTTGCAGACCAGCCTGAATTTATAAAGGCTGCATGTGATACCGAATGTCATACTGGGCCACCAGAGATCAGCTTGGAATTAATATAGTAAGACGAAGGCTATTCCATTCCATTTCAATTGTATTTAGAACATAAAGCTCATTCTTAGTTACCTATGTCTAAAGCAGGCACGAGTGGTTCCGCCGTAGAATTTGTTTTCCACGAGACAGCTGGGTCAGCTCCTGGTCAATGCACCTCAAGTGTAGCCACCACCTGGCTTGTCTGTGGAGACTTTGTGTGGTGACTATGCTGAATAGGTTTCACTGGGGCTTGCAGACTATGACAGACTAGGAAGGCAGGCCTGGCAATTTCTCACAATCAGCCCCACCCCCCACCCCCAAAATGGTATGGATCGCATCGTCTCGTCCACAACCGATACTGAGTGCTGACACAGGACCGGGTGGTGTTTGGATCCACTGTGTTTGGGGCCAACTTGACTGCAGGTGACACTACCATATGCAAAGGAGGCGGGTCACTGTCACACTCCAGTAAAGAGAACAATAATCTTTGAATGCGACTCCGTTAAATGTCCTGTCTTTGAGCCAATGGGAAAATTACTGCAGTCACCAGAGATTTTAAATGTGATGGGGCTGGGAGTGTTGGGCACAGGTAGGCAACGGCAAATGCCTGGCGTGAAGACACTACTAGAAGGGTAGCGCCGGAGTGATGAAGGG